ACAGAAGTTACTTCACAATTTAAGCACGTATGTTCCTCCTGAGGCAGTTAAACAGCACAGCAACGCACACGGTTTTAGTGAGAAGTGACAAAGGTGATTGCCTGATTTTGAAATGAAAGGAGCAATTTAGCCCGCATGTAGTTATTCAAGTGCGAAGTTGGTCCTGTCTGTCTTTAATATTCCAAAGTGGTATTTGATGTAAATCCTTCCCCGGAGTTCATTACATTAGCTCTTAGCTCAACCTGAGCACGCTGAGCACCAAGTTCAGCATGTTTTATAACCAAGTAGAATGACGTCATCCTAGTGATCCTGTAGCTCCCTAGTTCCTTGGGATGAGGTATGGCTTTGTCTTCAGCCTAAAGATGAAATGGAATATATTTGATGAGATTCCCTTGGTATTTGCAGTGTAGAATGTGTGAGGAATATTGCTTTGCACCTCCAGCAAGAACTGTCCCTTTTTGCCTAAAAAAAAAAAAGATGTTACTTTGCTTGTAATATTTTTATTCACAGACAATTAGATTTTTCCTTTACAGATCCCCAAGCGCTTTACAAGCAGACACACAGAGCCCTTTCACAGGTGGGTAAAACAAGATGCAGGGAAGCACCATGGCTTCTCAGCGTCCACCCCCCTGACCTAGTCCCAGGGACTGCCAGGCCGCTGCTGAGGGCTCTGGGTTTGAACCATGCTGACTTTCAAAAACAGTGGAAGAGAAATTTAGAAAGCAAGTGCTTTCATAATGGTTTGTCACTGCCGCTTTACAGAGATACTGGTCAGAGCTCCTGAGAAGCCAGAAATCTGCCCTCCCTTCTCACTTTGTCCTGGCCACAGTGAGACTCCCAGGAGTGCCGAGTGCCATCAGCGTGTGCACACGGAGTCCCAGCGCCTGTCGCCAGCGGTGGGTGGTGCCAGCTATTTCAGACGCTGTTTACCGTAAGTAAGACAGACTGCAATGATATAGCATGAATGTAAGTGCTAAGGAACAGGCAAGATGCCCAGCCACCCCACCGAGACTGGGCTGGGAATGGCATGCATAACATCAGACTCAGCTTTTGGGGATGGTTAGGGAGAAAGACTCCAAGTGCATAAATAGACAGTTTTCAGGACATCTTGAGAGCAGAATGAAATTGTCCTCACAGTACAACCAAGCCCTAAAAGTGAGCAGCCTCTCCCAGCCCCTGAAAATCCATGCTGGCAGACTCAGTGCAAATACGCTGTTCTGTCCCCTGTTATGACAAATCTCTGACAAGCCAAGGTCAGAAAGCAGAAAGTTTTAGCTGCTCTATCATGCCAGGAACAAAAAAAGAAAGAAAACAAAAAGCCTTGTTTTAAAATAAGCTGTTTTAAATAAACAAGTGTTCTTTGAACCACATCAGAGTACATACCTAACAATATTTGTTAAGTAAATACCAGTGACATGTTTAAGTCTGGCTCAGTATGTATTAGCAAAGTGGTATTTGTGTTGCTTTTGTTGTAACAAGAGTCAACAGCGTTTCTAGAAGGTGGTCTGAAAAAGGGGACTTTAGGGGTTTTTTTCCCACTTAGCATCCCACGGGGAAACATCTGCCCACCGGTAGCCCCACCTCAGGACTTTCAAGTAAAAAACCTTCCCAACGCAGTGATTTTGGTGAAGTTATACTTCACTTTCATTGGCTTCGTTCACTTCATAATCTGCCTCTTAGGCAGATTTTTTACCCACGGATCCACCGCCTAGATCATTTTGGCTCTCTGAAGGAAGTCTGTCCTGAGACTGGTTGCAATTTCACGGTCACATTATTACAGTCTGTACCTGAACTGCCACGGTGCCATGGCCAAGCAAAGTTCAGACCTATTCCCACCTCTCCTGATCAGCTGCTCCCCGAGCTTAGTTTTTCTTCAGTTTGATACTAGTGCTGTAAGCACAGCAAGCCCCCCCGCACAGGACTGCTCTTCATAGCTTCACAGCTGAGCTGACGCAGCCTCCGCCAAGATACACTAGCAACATGCAGAACGCCACTGCAGGGACCACAAGGGCACGCACAGCCTAAAAGCCAATAGTTGCTTTTCCATGTGCAGCAAAAGAAAATAGTAGTGTCACATTCTAATTTAAACAGATCTTTGTATATGTATTTGTATTTTGTCTGCTATCCTTTGAAATTCCAGCTTCCTTAACTCTTTTTAAGAGCCAGGTATTAACTCTAGGGTTAATGCACAGACAGAGGAATGCAAAGCAAGAGAACAGGTTGTAACAGTGATGATGCCGGATTTGAAATCCTCTACCAGGAACAAAGGTTTTCTTTTATGTCCGACAGGCTGTGAGGAAGTTGGACTGCTTCTCAAGTGTCCTTTCCTATATGTCCATATAAGTGTTCTCTTTGGGCATGCTCAGAAATTCTGGGCTTATAAATCATCACTGTAGACCATGTGCTTCCATGTGTGGGAAGCGGTGTGGCTTTTTCTCCCTGCTTTTGTGGGGTGTTGGAGAGGAGGAAAGGTCATGCTCTGTGGGACCCGAGGGGGAAAACTGCAGTTCATAAATCAGGCTTGAGCTACCCCACAGTCAGGCCACTGAAGTCACGGTGAGGCTCTGCAGGCAAAAATGTCAGCTAGGCTTTTATCTGTATGCCATGGCATCACAGGTCAATACTACAACTTCTTTCTCTTCTTTAAAGCCTTCATATCAGAGGAATCAAAGCCCCCTACCTCCCCTTCCCAAATTGCCTCTAGTTAATAATAGCACGAACAGTAGTTAGCCCAGGTTTGAAAGAGGCTTTGATGAGGTATTGCTCTTTGATAAGCCATTTCAAGGGCAGGAGGCAAAGTGTTTACTTTGCTTGGAAGAGGAGTCTGATGAGCAATTTGCTTCTCTCTTGCTAAGGCCAAGCAGAGCTTTGTTACCTCCAGAATACGGAGACTGCGGAGGTAGTTTACAGCTACTGCTCTTTACCTCTGGCTATTTCTTTGCCTGGTACAAGAATAAAGTTATGAATGAAGCCCAGCAAACTGTCCCTGCCTGTGACAGCTGCCTCTGCGTGGAGCCTTGGCAACCACCCACTCCCCAGCTTTCCCTCCCACGGCTTTCTCCTGCCTTTGGCTGTCCTGGAATCCCTGAGGAATTAGGAGTGCGGTGAAACCCGGGAGTGCAGCTGGCCCAGAGGGGAGAGCAGGCTGCAGCGGAGCCCTCCTGACCACGCACTGCCACAGAAAGGGGCAAACACGCAAATAAGGCTTCAGGTTGGGCTGGCCAGCCTGACTGGTGGTGGGCCAACCTGCAAGACATGAAACGATTTAGTCTGAAGACACTGAAGCTCTCCCAAAGCCTAGGCCCACACTAACTGCACCAGGTGCTTTCCTGGAGACAGAAAAAGCCACGCCAAAGGAGTGAAGGCAAGCAGGGCTGCTACCAACTTTTGCTACAAGAAAGCTTTACCAACTCAGATGGCGAGGCTATTCATTGTTCATTTCATCAAGCGTTGTATTACAGAGGCTGTGAAGCCTACCTACCTGCCTCTCACCGCACAGGCACAGTAAATAGGTTTACTCTAGCAGCCTGGGTGCAGCTTTCAGGTCAGCACGGGAGTAGGCCAGGGCAGGAGGTGCTGGGGTGGCCCCAGGCATTTCCTGGCCACGTGCTTTCCCACGCTGTAGGTGGAACATAAGGAATTTTGTTTAGAGATGGAAAGAAAACTTGAGTGTATCCAACCAGCTGCAAAATGCCTCTGACTAGAAGGACTCTACATGCTACTTCTGGCCCGGCCCAGCCTTGGATGGTGGGTGTCCACATCGGCAGATCTGGGAGCAGTGGACCACCTGCCCCAGGGACTGAGATAAATCGGCAGCTTTGTGGAGTCTTCCACTGCTGGTGGAAACCCGGTGGCTGCCGCGGCCACTGAGAGCTGGTGGCTCTCCTTCAGCTGTGCCCGGAGCAGGGCCCAGGGGGAAAGGAAATCCCTCGCAGACCCAGTAGCAGGATGTTATTCACATGCTTAAATCTGCAGGATGAAGCACTTGTTATCGGAAGGAAAGGAGATAAGCAGGTGTTGTACAAGACGGTGCCGTTTGGGAGAGGGCTGCTAGAGGCAACCAGTGAGCCATCGCTGGAAAACCGTTCCGCTGCCCGGCCGACGGTCAGGTAGGGCGCAGCGCGTGGTGGGCTCGGGCTTGCTCCGTTCCTTCTCGGGGAAGCGCTGCGTTACTGAGGCTGCAGCGGGCCCTGGGGACAGCTCGGCTCGGTCGGGTTCTGCCCCGTCCCGAACCA